CCTTTTATATTCTTAATTCTTAATATATTCTTAATATATTGTATGTCCTATTCTGTTTTTTTCTATTACATATGGAGTATATGTAACAAAAGTAATTTCCCCCTGGGATTATCAAAGTATATCTGATTCTGATTAAATACGTGTTGTTACATATGGTATGATGACAAAGTTAAAACATTTCAGAACCTTTTACAAATTTAAAATGATCTCATTTACAGCTGTTAGGTCGCAACACAAAAGTGATTCCACAAATGTCTTAAGTTTGTCCATTCTGAGTTACTGTAGAAACATGCCAGTTCAACATGGCAGACTCTTTAGAAGAGGACCCGCTCCTTCTGTAGACAAATGGCTCATTCTTAGGTAACAAAAACACACAATTCTTATATTTAGGTGATTATACACTAATGAAAACATACCTAAGAATATTATATTCCATTTCTGACAACAGATCCTCCTAAATGTTACACAATGGTAATAGAAGAAGAAAGGTCACACTGATCCTCTGAGAACAATGAATTTCCATGCTAATGTATAATATGGGTAAACTGGGTATTATGATGGTACACATTACCACCGAACTACAAAAGTTACATTTCAGATCATAAATGTTACATTTCAGTACTTAAGTGTGTTACCAAACTGTGTCAGTATGTCACTGGAAAAAAAACAGAAGTTTAGTACACTAAAATACCAAGTGTGACAACGCTCACTGGTGCCATCTTTCACTGCTTTTGGACAGATCATATATTACAGATCATATATTATATAGTAATTATAGATGTCACAGAGGAGCAGACGCAGAGACAAGGCATGTCTACAGCAGCTCATACCTACAGGGCACCAGGAAAAAGCTTTGTCAATGGGTATAGCTCAGTAGCTCAGTTTCTTGAAGACTGCCAGTACAACAGTGGGTTGGATACAAAATTGTATCGCTTTAAAATAATTTAAAATATTTTGAGAAATATGTCTGCCATCTTTAATGTTTTAAGTGAGTAATATTCCATTATTTGTGATAAAAAAAATAAAATATAAAATAATTCTGGAAAATAGTACAGCTGGTTACCTGCATGGGGACTGCACTTGGTTCTATATTGTAACAAAATTCAGTAGATACATTTGAATACATCTTTAGTCTAGGACTAATTCCAGTTCAAGAAACTGCCCCTAGAGGGCAGATTTTGACCCTTACCACAGCAACTGCTAGGACTGGACCTGATGTGTTCTAAATGGCACTGTTCTCTTGGATGACACTGTTGTAACACAGACCTCTGACTCACCTTATTTGTCGTAGTGAGTCGATCTTCACTCTGTCGTAGCCGCCATAATCAACATATCTAATCTCCACTTCATTTGTTTCTTTATAGAAGGTGATAACCTGAGCTCTCCACCAGGCTCCTTCCACAGCTGGAGCTGCACAGATCACACCAACTGCGCACACACACCACACACACACACACACACACAGAGAAAGACTGTTAATCCAGTAAGTAGCAGCATTACAGTCATTACTTTAATACGAGCATACATTTTCACTATATTTAATAGGATACAAGCACAGCAGTTTTAACTGATTTTGACCCATTAATCAGGGAAAATACCTGAATACCAAAATGATTTGTATAAATAGAAACATAGCTTGTACAGATCTCTTCCTGAACAGATTTTCCAATGAGTGAATGGATTTATTAGTTTAGCTTTTGAAATTGTGGTGAAATCACAAATCTGCCATCTTAAAATACAGTGGTTGGTTTGTTTGCTTTCCCACCACAAACCAACTGCTAAAGAGAGACTGAGGGTGCTGCTGCTGGAGGATCAACTTGTCAAACCAAATGATTACTGTCACTAAGTTGCTAAATTGTTAAAATATTTACACTTAAGACAAACTGTCCTGTGTTGCTCCCTTTATAGTTTAGTTATTAGTGTGTGTTCCCCCTTTGTGTCTAAAATGGTTTATTGAGCAATTATATCCCTCTTTGGGTTCAGTTTGGTCTTTAAAGTTCTATTTAGTTTAAGATATAGTCTCAGTTAAGTTTAGTTGATCTTTCACAGACCAAGAACTTTTGTTGGTGTGGGAGGAGAGACCCGTCTTGTATGGGAAAGTGAAGCCCTTTAACATCTGCTAAGTTTATCTGCTGTCAGATCCTGACACAAACATGTTGTCATGTTTGTTTTATAAACTAAAGTGAAAAGAATATTTCCTGCATAGGTGACACATTGGTCATTTCCTTAAAAACAGCACTGGTGTAAAACCAGTGGTTTCCCCCTCCTCAACCAAAGCTTCAAATGCCCATTAACGAAAGTGGGGGATTTTTAAGGTTGTTGAAGATGTAGTTCTAGCTGCCTATGGGGTCAAAGAATTACTTAAACTGCAGAACTGAACCCCCGTCTGACCAAGGTTACCTTCAGCGGGTGAGGGCAGAGCAGGAGTGCCTGGCTGGGAGTAGCAGAGGAACATCTGCTGGTCGAGGCTTCTCAGAGCATGGTAGGTGGGGTGGGTGTGCTGCTGGACAAAGACGTGGCCAGCCGACACGATGTTCACCACTATCACTTCGACTGTCACTCCGCTGGGGAGCAGAAGCTGAGGAGGAAAATGAGTGACACAAGAGGAACTGTTACCCTTCCAGTAACTGTTACCCTTTCCTATTGCTGAAGCCACAGCAAAAAAGGAGCATCCTCAGTTATTTTAATGACACAAGTGGTTGGGCTGATTTTTCTCATTTTCAAATGGGCTTGATATTAAACCACATACCATACAGGACCGGCAACACTGAATTTCACCCCTAGGTGTCGTACATGATTCAGCTGCCCCAGAGTGGAACAGAAAGACAGTTTTCCACAACACGTTCTTATAAATATTTCACAATAAAAGCCTTGTTACAAAATTAAGGGTTTCTGTCCACAGAGGGCTTTTAATTTGAAACACATACAGAAAGTGTTGATGTTATATTAACAGTGTAATGCAGCAACTTGAACTGGGTTACTGACTATACTAGCTTGTTAGCTTAGTGCTTTTTGTTATGGAAGTGAATCGTGACCAAAATTAAAATTAAAATGCATTTGCAGAAATGCTTTTTCATTTTAAGAATGTGGCTGCATTATTTGACTCATTAATAAAATGAATAA